TACAGGAGAGTAGGAGAATAATGTGGTTCCATGGTTTATTGTACTTTGGCTTCACAAGTACCTATCTGCCTTACGCATTAGAAAGGAGATAAAAGAAAACCAGATTTATAGTTAAGGTTTCTTCAAAGAAGTAACTACTCACAAGCCCAAATGTTTGTTGTGATTGTTGGGAAGATAAAAAATCCTATGATCTGCGAGAGCATCCCAGTAATAAAGGTCTTAAAACATACATTGTAAAATCCTTGTAGTAGTAGCAGAATCCTGATTCTTTTTTGCTCAGGATGTTGCTGCTTTACAATTGTAGTCTTTCTTACATGGGTGGGTGTGGGATTATTGGTCCAGGAACTAATATTTTCATCTTTTGCCTGCATAACCATGAAGTGCATATTTCTGGATATACGTTGTATAAATCTTTCCCTTTTCCCCAGTTTGACTGTAGCTGCATATGTCCCAGTATAACTCCCACTGATTTTTATTATGATGCTTTCTGTCCTCACAGCTTTTCCCTTCTTTACCTGTCCTATCTCATTCTGTTGTCTGCTCTTGTGAAACCCTTTCTGTCTTCTGGAATTACCTCTTCCCACTTCAACTGATTCTGCAGTAGTGATCTCAGCTCTGCCTCCCAGATCTAGTGTGAGTCACCAGGTTCCCAGGGAAAAGGATGTGGTTGCTAGTCTGTGCTGCGAGGACTGTGAGCTGCTGCAGCAGCAGGTCATTAGCTGCTGGGGTCAAAAGGGCTGGCCAAGCACTGCTGCACACAGTTCCAGAAACTGAAGATGACTTTGCTGGTGTTGGGGTGAATGAACTGCATGTTAATAATTGAAAACACATATCCACATGTTGGAAATGAAAGGTATTTGCTTCTAGTTTATCTCTGACCCAGCGACCAGGATATAACTTAACAGACCTATGTGACTCAGTGGTGTTACATGGACTTCTGAAGATACAACATTTTGTGTTTCAGAAGAGTCATACCCCTCATGTACCTGCTTGTCACAAAATAGTTTTTCTGTTTAAATATTTTACCTGGAAAGCTTAAAGGCTGTTTGGGATCACTGAATACTTTATATGTATTCATACTTTTATTTTTTTAACTATCAGTATGAATTTTCTTGCTGTCAACAATATATCTGTAGAATCATAAAAGGTACAAAATCAGAATGGTCTTTCCCTTTTAAAAACCTTGCTATGCTGTATGAAAGACATAAGGCTGGATATTATGGGATTCTCAGAGTAACTTAAACTATATTAAGTCCTTACCTCAGCTCTTGCTGCTGATCTGGGGACATTGCAAGTCTCTGCTGTATGAATTTGAAATCTTTAATGAATTTCAGATTATAAAATATTTAAATTAGCTTTACATCACATAATTTTTTGTACAAGGAACACTAAAATCCTTCACCATATATTAGCCTTTATGTATCACAGATTTCTTGCAAGGCAGTAACATTAAAGAATTCCATCATGATGTACTGTTTGTAGCTCAAGTAATCCAGTCAGTTACTTGTTTCTTTTAAAAAAACAGGAACGAGGAATAAAGTCTCCAAAGATCTATGTTTCAATCCAGCTGCCTGTCTTTCTTGATCTGTAAGTAGTTTTAAGCAAACTTTCCAAGTGTCTCTGTAAAACAGGTTCTAAATCTTAAAAGGCTGCACCTACACAGTCCCTGTTTTTCCTGAAGACCTGGTAAAGCAACTGAATCTTCTAAGTTTTTACTGGCTAATATGCTTTTGTCTTGGTTTAAGGTTCTCGAGCTTTTTGCAAAAGGCTGCCTGAGGAAATGACCCTGATATGGTAGACAGCCTCCCTCTTCTTGTGAGCAATATATGCAGATTTTCACATGATAGGTATACAAGCAACCTCCCTCCCCCAGCCAGAGGTACAAATAGCACAGAAATCACTGTACAAGCATGGTGTATATAAATATTTTTTTTAATTGGCTAAGAGCTTGGCAACTTGATTGTGAATGCGGTTTTATTGTATTATTTTCTTTAAACTGTCTTGATTTTGTGCAATATGGCCTTAAAATAGCTGTTAAGTAACAATTATTCACAATTAAACCTTAGGGTGCAACTCCCAACTATATTAAATGAAAATGTTGTCATTCAATGAGCACCACAATCTCCCCTATTCACTATGGCTATATAATACAGCAGTCTTTGCCATAGGCAAAAAGTTGTTTAATATAGTTTGGATATGCTGAAATACGTAAACAGGTCCCTACCATTTAGTGCATTTCTCCATTCACTGCTAGTGATTGATAACTAATGGTTGTGATGCTTCATAAATAAGGTTTTGAGAATTTTGTCTTAAAATGCTACAGCTACATGCCATGAGGCATGGTAATTCACTATCAATTGCTTCACATGCCTAGCTTTCCCACACTGAATAGGTTGTTACTGATGCTCTTTTGCTTGTTTCTTTGTCTTCTTTCCCAAATTTCAGAGTTTATCATTAAAAAGGTTTATGCAGAGCCCTTGGTCATGTAGATCCTGGTTGATCACCACAATGGTAGTATCTATTAAATCTGTTTATGTTATTCCAGCTTTATTATTTTACTTCCTGTTTCAGATTTACAGCAACAAAACCAGACAAGGCAAATTCAGTTACTCAGATGGATAAAAGAATATGAAATAGTTTAGTAAATCCATTTGGTTTGGGTAGGAAATTATAAACCTAAGTATTTTTAGAAGTACTGCAACAGTTAGCATCTCTTCTAGCATATAGCAGAGGTTCTTCAGGAATTACAAATGTTTCAAGAATTTATACATTCTTTCAAACCTCTTTACTAAATAAAAAGGAAAAGAAAGGAAACTCCACTAACTTCATGTTTCTTTTTACTGTTAGGCTCTTGCCAGAATAACAAGCAGCCTGCAAACCATGCATCAGCTGCATGCTAGACCCCAACTAAAACTGGTGAATTGACCTCACATTTGCCACTTTACAGCTTGCAGTGAATTTAGTGTTTAACTCCCTTGCTGTACATCTGGTACTAATGACACAGCATCTGCTGCAATACTCCCAATTCACTTGATATGGCTGCAATTGCACTACTGGGAAGACGGGTGTTAATTATTTTATGCAAGTATTTTACTTCAATCTGCCTCCACCAGGCTTCTAGGAAAACTCCTATTGTCAATGCTAATCACTAGCTGGCTGGTAAAGAAGTTATGTGCCAGCAAGCCTTGCTCAAGATCTAATTGGGTACATTAAAGACAGTTACTGTACTAATTCTCCTTGCTGATCAAATGCTTTGTGGATCATCAGGTGCATTAATTATCCACATTCCCTGCCAAGCTAACTTCTGGTGAGCTCCCATGTTCCTCCCAGTACGCAGATGAAGACAAGGAAGCCAAAGACATTTTGTCAGTCATGTAAACTAGTATCAAAGCTATTCTGGAAAAGCTTTTTTTATAACAAAGGTCTGTAATCTGCTCCCAGTGGGGCTAATTACATGCACGGTCCTGAGCCAGACTGTGGGTGAGAAAGGCCAGGGTGAGTACAAGAAAAGATCACAACCCTCTGACTGCAGAATCAAGCGCAGGGCACTCGCTCGCTGGAGAAAGAAGTCTTCCCGTGTTGGATCTTCTGTCATGGTTTAAGCCCAGCCGGTAACTCGGAACCACGCCACCGCTCACTCACTTTCCCCTTTACCCCCTCACCTGCCTCCCGGAGGGATGGGGAGGAGAATCGAAAGAATGTCACTCCCACGGGTTGGGAGAACAGTCCAGGAACTAAGGTATAACACAAATCACTGCTGCTACCACTAATAATAATGGTAAGGGAAATAACAAGGGGAGAGAAACCCAGACATCCGGTTTTATCAGCACTGACCCGGGAAGCACGTTTTAGCGTATGGGAGCGCACACATAAAAATCTTGCAAACAGATTTGGCATACGAGTCTTATTACTGCCCGTGCTAGCAAATCTAGCACACACACGCACACACGTTACCTGCTCTTTACGAGCAGCAACTGAGTGGTTCCCGACCAGGAGGCGCTCTCGATGCGCATTTCAGATGCAGACCCGCTGCAGGCGAGGCGGGGGCGCTGAGGACCGAGCCGATCTTAACCGCCAGCCCGATACCGTCTAGTCCGGGACGGGACTCAGGGTCAGACGAGCACCGCCCAGCACCACCGCGAGCACGACCCTGAGGTAAGGCCGACTGAAGCGAAGCGACTGCTCCGCACATGCGCAGCGCGAAGAGCGGGTGAGTCAGCGGCGGCCCAGTGGCCGTCGCGTCAGCCCGGCGGTCCGAGGTCCCTTCGCACATCCGGGTGCCCTAGCACCGCCCACCGCTGGCCTCCCAGCTGCCATCGCCGCTCGGGGTCTCCTGGAGCTCCGCTGCAGCCGCGCCGGGCTTCTCCGATGCGAATCGCCGCCCGCTCGCCGCCCGCTGGCATACGGCGGCGGCGAGCGGTCGGGCTCCGCGCGCGATCTCCACCATGATGCCGGCCCTGGCCGCTCAGCGGCGGGGCTGCCGCGGCCTCTACCGCCTGTACCTGCGCTGCCGGACGGTGCCGCTCCCGCGCGCTTGCCACGGTGAGTCCCTCAGGGCCCGGCCCGCTGCTCTGCGCCGGCGGACTGCCGGGACGCTCCCCGGGGACAGCAGGGCCGGCGGACCCTCGCCTTCCTCGGTGAAGTCTCGTAAAAAAGCTGTAATCAAGCTGGGTGCTTGTGCGGGGAACAACGAGTGCCCGGGCTTGTGGGCGGCTGGTGGCAGCCGGCTTCGGGCGCCGGCAGGGCCGCAAGGGATTCCTACGGGCATCTCCAAGCCGTCGGGAGCGCAGCCCGCGTGGTGGGTATCAGTGTTTAAAAGGGCGATGTTCAGATCGTAACTGCCTCGGTAGGCGAGGCGTGCCCTGACGAGGGTAACACCGCATCGCGGGTGTTTTTACGGCCGCTGTAGGCCGCTTGCCCTATCGGCTGCCGTCTGGAGTAAAACCCATACGTCAAGTCCGAGCTGGGGCTGAAGTTTGCTGTAATTGTATAAAATAAAGCGCAGCGTTACAGGGTTTGTGTTGGTCTGAGGAATGAGCCCAGGCTTTTTCTTTAGGCCGCAGGTCCTATGGAGTTTAAATTCCGACCTGTTTTGGCCCTCTCCGTATAATCACCTATGCTTAAATTACAACAGTACCCGTTTTCTTTAATGATTCCTTGTGTGTCTGTGGGTTAGTAGGAAGAACGTCCTCTAAACATGCCGATTTAAGTTTCCCTTTTTCAGTTGGCCTAGTATCACCAAAGCTTAGGAAACAACACTGCTCATCTCATGCCATGTATTTATTGTAGCGTTGTGTAAAGCGACAGTAAGTTCACTGGGCTGTATTGATTCTTCTGGGCTTTTGTCACATCAGCAGCATCTAATAATTGGAGTTTATCTGAATTTTTTTTTTAGTGAAATTGTTTTTCTATAAGGTTCAAATTAGTCTATGCACACGTGCAGATGCTTCAGTACCATAGAGGATTAAAATGAAATGAAAACTGTTGAGACTTTTTGATGGAATAAAGTTTTATAAAATATTTATAAAATATTGCCATTTTGTGGGAGGTGCATTGTTCATATATGATTAGTCATACTTTGCATGACTCGAGTTACTAGCACTGCTTACTTTTTTTTTTTTGCTCTGTTCTTTTAATGAGTGCTTTCCAGAGCAGCCAGTTTGCCTGTTGCATTTCTTGTTGGAGGAGTCATTTGCTCTCTCAGTAGAAGTATTTGTGCTGCCTAAAAGAAACTCATTGCTAATACAGGTTGGCCTGTACTACATACAGTTCTCCTTCTGGCTAGTCTTTTGAAATCAAAGATTGCCTTCCCAGGGTGATTTCTCAGTGGGGATCTTGCATGTTTATCTTGTAATATGTCTGTTGCAACTGTTGGAGAACTTTAAATTCTTCTACGTAAATGTTTTCTGCAGTGCTGTGTGCTTTTCTACGTAATTTCTGTACCAAGTTGCTTTTAATGTGTAATGCACGCAGTTCAATTTTTCTTAATTGTTAAGGTGTGGTTTATACACAGTGTACACAGGGTGAAATGAAATGGCAACACTAGCTGGTAGTTCTGAAGTGCTCTGTATTTGCTTTTGTATCAATATTTGTTTTTTAAAAAACTTGAGGCAGTAGGACTAGAACAGGGCTTAATTTATCAACCAGTCTTACCAAATAGCTTTGTATCTTTTAAAAAGCCTCTAATGCTAGAATGAACTTTAAAAGTGAGTGCTTGAAGGGAGGCAGTGAAAACATGCTGTCTGCTGCTGTTTGATATTCCTAACCGTGGGTAAAAGAAGCGCAAATTTTAAAAGTTAAATTCCTGTAACTTAGGCGGGTATAGCTGTACCACCTTCCCTTCTTTTCCCTTACAAAATGGTTGCCTGAAATACCTTTTTTTCCCTCCTCCTGTTAGGATGGCAAGCTCCAGTGAAAAGTGGGAGTCTGTCTTGTTTTCTGCCATGCCATCGTCTGCCTGTGCAGTTGATGAGTCAAGTGAGAGTTTATACCTCCAATGGTCAAAAAAAAGATCTTGGATCAGAAGATACAAAAGGGTCAATCCCTGAAGAAACCCTGCATAAAGCTGGAACAGGTAGTACTAAGCTAAAATAAAGAGTATTTCTATAAATGTAAAAAACTGTAGGTATTTAATGATTAATTTTTTTTTCCCCAGTTGTGTGATGGGTTGCAGAATTCTTAGTATTTTTTGCTTATGGGCATCTGTATATAAACTTCAAATGCATAAACAGGGAGGAATGCTGAAATTTATGTCTTTGTCAGTCTGGTATTAAAGGATTTAAGTTTAGAGTAATCAGATTTAAAAGTGGTGATGATAAAGCGTGGATGTCAGAAGGGATTAAGTAATCTAAGAGATAAGAAATGGGATGTATTGGTTACTTTTCACGATTTTGCTTGCTTACTTTAATTCTTTTTGTAGTATTTCAGGTTGTGTGAAATTTACTAGTGATAAAGATTGAATGAGTAAGAATACCAGCCACTGTGACTTCTCCACATCAGGCTATAGGTGACTTGTAAAGAAGGTTGAGCTGTTTCATCTGCTGCAGCTTTCTAATCTGATGGTTGTCAGAACTGCAGCATGCATGTTTAAAGTGATAACATGAACATAACCTGACCCTCCTTCCCGTTCAGTTTGATTCTCAATCTTGTGCTAGTTAGGTGCTTGTAAAATTCAGATCTGTCCTGTCCTTGCTCCATCATAGCGTCCTCTATTTTTGCCTCTTGTTAAGTGGGAGACTGCTGTTTCCCAAAGAGATACAAATGCTTTTTAAAAAGAAAGCTCTCTTTGTGCTTTTTTCTAAAACTAGGTGATCTACTAAGGAAAATTTCCTTTCTTTATTGTCAGGTTACTAGGTATTCATTCTTTCTTTAGTAACTTGTAAATTCCTGAGGCTTGCAGCAGTCTTTAAAAATTAGTAGCTTGAGCCAGCTAAAGTATTAATTTTCTGATGCTTGGATAATGTAAGTGGCTCTTATATATTGTTCTAAGTGTAACAATTTGGTACTATTTCTTAAGTCTGTGATTGGATTTTAGAAGAGGATAATATTTAAGACCGTTTATGTTTCTTGGAAAGTCTTGAGTTGAAGGTGGTTGCTAGAGGGTGAGATCCTTGCAGAAGAATGCCTGAATACAATGAAAGATTGTAGAGCCAGTTATAGTTGTTGGTATTTTCTGGGTTCCTAATGTGAGGTTACCGGTGTTAAAAATCAGACGTGAAAATAGCCTAGCACTATTGCTTTCATATTGTTCACTATCATCAGAAGGGATGTTCCCACCATCTTCCACCGCTGTCTGATTAGTCCCCCTTTTGTGCTGGCATTAATTGACGTTTAGGCCTGTTTTGTGAAAAATTGCTTTCTTGTTTTGCAGAGCTAGGGTACAGGTAGGATCAGTAACCTGATCCTGTTCATTGTCTCTAAAACGGCTGTGGAGGTGCAGCCCTTTAGTGGCAGCACAGCCCTGAGCCGTGTAAACGTCTAGTGTAACTGTGTCGCATGGGCACCGTGAGGCTTGCTTTTTGTTGAGAATGGGGGCTGACATGTGCAGCCTAGAGATATTGTGCACAGTCACTCTGGAGTTTATTCTGGAATGCATATTGCTATCTGCATGCTTCATGTAAGGGGTGTTTTCTGGGGTCTAGGGGATAGAAAGTTTTAACGTTTTTTAATGGCATCACAGACATATTAGTACTGTTTATTTTAAAAATGCATGATAGTTTGATAAAATTCTGAAAAGTAATATACTATTTGTAAAGATTTCTACACTTTTCCAGTAATTTATGCGTTTAGCAAATAATGGATCTCTTTTGCACCTCCATTCCTTTATCAGTAAACTTGGGAAATGCTTTTTCTGTTAATGTGATATTTAGAATATTAATGTAGTCATCTTGAAAGTTCTATGAACCTCTGCTTGTCTGAAAAATAGTAATTGCAAATTGAAGCAAAATCTTATAACCCAATCTTCTGTTAAGTAGTGGCAGTGATATTTCTTTTAGTGACATAAATGGTTGCACACAATTTTAGAAAAGAAGCTACTACTCAGTTTTTGTTAAGCAATCTTAGCTGAAGTGTTTTATCATGAATACTGATAGATCAGCTGCCTGGTTTTTGAAATGAGGTAAGAAAAAAAAGCAACAGCAAAGGGTTTTTTGCTTTTGTTTTCAGGTTAAACAATAACTGATGGGGTGATTGTATTAGGAATGCTAGCTATATATGGTCCAGCCTTTTTTGTTGTGTAGTAAAATCAGTTTCATGAATTTACGTTATTATTTTTCAAAGAAAGTGTACTATCGTTAGCCTTAGTTCTCAGTTGCTGTTAGGGCAATAAGTAATTACCTCATGGAAAGATAGTTACGTAGTCCAAACTTCAAGAAAATCTGACCTTTCAGTAATTTGAGTAGCATGTTAAGCTAGGATCATCTCATTAATTAACACAAACGTGCTTGAGAATTCTCTTTTTTTTTTTTTGGGTCTATCACTTTCAATAATGTAAGTTTTAATTTTGTTAATGACTGTGGATGTGTAGCAAACCTAGCAAACCTGCAGTGTTAGGGCACAAAAGAGTGGTTTGACGTGTTAGAATCATAAGGTTTTTGTTCTGAAAGTTATGTCAAGATGTATCAGACAAGGATGCAGTATTTGTATTGTCAAGTAGAACTTCTGATTTCTAAGTAGAAATCTCACTGATATTAATGGAATTTATTATTTTCCAAATATTAAGTTTCACTTTACTGTAAATTATATTTCACTGGCTTTTTATTGAGCATATCCTCAAATTTCAAAGCCAGTGGAACACTTTGTCCAGTTTATGACCCAGGAGTTGGGGGTTTTAATTTAAAAGTTGTGTATTTTAAGGAGCGAGCTTTTTTTAAGGGAAAAAGCTTCAGTTGCTTAAAACTGAATTGCAGCTTGGAAGCTTTGTGAGACTCTAGTAATCCGCAGCCATAAACTGTATCAAATTAACTATATCTACTGGTCTAAAACTCTGCATGAAACTTGTCCCAGACTAAACGTATACTGTTAAAATGCTTTTCAGAATTTCAGGATACTTTCTGAAGTATTGTTGCAACTTGGTGCTCTTCTGCAAGCTGCTGGGAGTTTATTGATCAATGTCTTATTTTGTTATTTGTTTTTTTTACTGTTGCTGTGTTTTTATGTTGAGAGTTTTAAATCTTAGAAATCTAGCAAAAATGTTTTTTAGTTGTCAGGGTGGAAAGCAATATTAAGAGACATTCCTGTTTTATGTCAACTAAACTCTTTACTAAAAGGTAGGCACTTCCATGCTTACAGTGAGCTTTGTCTTTATTTCACAGGACAAGATAAGACCAATGCAGGCCAAAAGCAGTCTGTCCTTAAAGAGCCAATCCAAGTAAAAGGTAAAGAAGTACTTGTATTAAAACTTTGCTGCTGTCTGTGAGTAGTTAAAAAGAGTGTAAGGAAACCATGGTTCCTCTTCAATTGTGTAACAAGTTTATGTGAATAACATTTTAAAACACACTTGTATGTCAGCTTTGTTTGGTACCCAGTTGTTTGAAATTGACTCCTGGAAAATCAAATACAGCAGTATGCCTAACTACTCACTGTTCTGTGCAGTTTTTAATGGTTTTATTTGAGCTGATGAGTTTGTCAGGAAAAGACTTAGTTGTTTTCTTACCTGTTATCACAGTCTCTCCTCCTTTCATGTTTTTAGGCATGTCCATTCACCATTGCAGACCTAATGTGGCTAAGCTGAATGCTTGATCTTCCTCTGTTCCTTCTTATTGCTAAGTTAATCTAATCAGTGTTGCTTCTAAATATATTTTGACCACATGAACTACCTAATCTGAGTCATGTAATGTTCCCAGTTGTGTCTGTAGTAATGTAGTGAGTTGACCTGGCTGGATACCTGGTGCCCACCGATTCTTCTCTATCACTCCCCTTCCTCATCTAAACACAGGAGAGAAAATCTAATGAAAGGCTTGTGGGTCAAGATCAGGACAGCAATTACTGTCACAGTCAAAACAGACTCGACTTGGGGAAAATGAGTTTTATTTATTACCAATCAAATCAGAATAGGGTAATGAGAAACAAAAAAATAAATCTTAAAACACTTTCCCTTCTTCCTGGATTTAAATTTGCACCCAGTTTTCTCAACCTCCTCCCCTTGCTGGAGAGCAGTAGTTGTGGTCAGTTCTCTTGTGCTCCTTCCTCCTCGGGGTACGACTTCTCACACTCTTCTGCTCCAGTGTTGGGAACAGGTGAAGGCGTGTCTCTCATGGCAGATAGTCCTTCATGAACTTCTCCAACATGGGCCCTTCCCATAGGATGCCATTTTTCACAAAGTTCTCCAGTGCGAGTCCCTTCCATGGAGTGCAGTCCTTCAGGAGCAGACTGCTTCAGCGTGGGTCCCCTGGGGGGTCGCAAGTCCTATAGCAAACCTGCTCCAGCATGGGCTTCTCTCTGTACAAGGCCACAGATCCTGCCAGGAGCCTGTTGCAGTGCAGGATTCCCGTGGGGTCACAGCCTCCTTTGGGCATCTCCTTGCTCTGGCATGGGGTCCTCCATGGGCTGCAGGTGTATTTCTGCTCCACTGTGGACATTCATGGGCTGCAGGGGCACCATGACTCACCATGGTCTGTACCACAAGGTTCAGGGGAATCTGTTCCAGTGCCTGGAACACATCCTCGCTTCCCTCTGCACTGACCTTGGTGACTGTAGAGCTGTTCCTCTCACACATTCTCACTCCGTTCTTTGGCTGAGGTTGCTCCTGAGCAGTAACCTTTTCCCCATCTTAAATACATTATCCCAGAGGTGCTACCACTGTGGCTGATGGGCTCAGCCTTGGCCAGTGGTGGGTCTGTCTTAGAGCTGGCTGACATTGGCTCTGTTTGACATGAGGGAAGCTTCTAGCAGCATCTCACAGAAGCCACCACTGTAGCCCCTCTGCTACCAAAACCTTGCCATGTAAACTCCATACAAGTAAATACATGCTTTTGTCATTAGTTACATTATTTAAAAACGGAAGTAGATAAAATAAGTGCTTAACTTTCTCTTATGATTTCATGTTCTTAATTTATCATAAGCTGTTTTCACTCCATCTTCACTCTGATAGTTTCTGTGATGCTATTGTGAGAATTATGCTATTAAAAACTCCTGTGCTTTTGATCACTTCTGGCCTTCTCTGTATGGAAAGAACTTTATCAAAATAGAAATTGCCATTTCTCTTTAAACTCTCTAAAAAAAATATCTCTGGAGTGAAAGTGACTCAGCAGACCATAAACTCTATGAAAATGTCTTCATGTCTTTTCCCAAATTTAAAGAAACATGAAATTGTAATACTTGTTGGTAACAAGGTGAGATCAGGATCTCTGGATGTATGCTTTCTGCAAGCTTTTGTCTACATCTTTTATGTCAGTTTCTTCGGGTCTGTTGTCATTTAGTGTATGCCTGCATGGGGAGCATGCAAGGTAGATAGGAGAAATAAGAGAGACTGAGAAATAATTGTAAAAAGAGATGTATCTCTCAGTGGAAAGAGTTTTGCTTCTAGATTATAGGCAAGCAAGACTGTTAAAGATTTTGATAGTGTTTAGAAAGTGGAATTCTAGCCTTCAGATGCTATTGCAACTTAGAAACTTACTGATACAAGTGTTACTAAGACAATAACATTTTAAAAGGATCACTGATCTTAATTTTTTGCAATTTAAAGTGTTTTATTTACATCATCTATTATTTGGCTTTATCTTGGAAATATCGAATTGGTTTTTCCCCCTCTGTATTTATCGCCTATTTTATACAGTTAATTGAACTAGGGGTAGGCTCATTGAGATATTCTGCGGTGTACAATTGGTTATAGTATTTTCTTTTAGTGAAATTTATCTGTGCTTCTGGAAGATGGATTAGTAAGTATTTGATAAATCCATGACTCATTTTTTACTAAGATTAATATGCTTTGAATATATATGTGGAGAAAAGATGGGAAGCATTCTTCTTGTTTAAAAATATTTGCCCTGTTCTAACCTTAGTAAATGGTGGACTGTTTTTTGGAGGTTTTTTTTTTTTTTTTTTAAATTTGTCACCTTTGCTCAGGAGCACTGTGGGATGAATGTGAGTGCTCAAGTACTTAAAAAATTGTGTAAGATCAAACTGGATGACAGAAATCTGATTATTATGATAAATATTGTTACCTGTATTGTTAGTGCATTGCTGAGTGTCAAGCAATGTATTTTGCCTTCAGGATTTCAAAACTCAGAAATAAGACAGTGTAGAACTTTGGGAAGTAGTAGCTTTCTGCAAGTATCCTATGACTTAAGGAGTAGTTCTGGACTAACTTCAGAAATCTTATAATCAATCTTGTGACGCACAGGAAATTTATGTGTGCTCGTAAGTCTTCTCACCTGCAGAATTTGAGCTTTTTGTTTTCAGTTGTGTTCTTTAATGTTATATCCTTCAGCAATTGTTGACATTTCTTCCAGTAAATATAATGTTTGTAATGGAAATGAACATATAGTGACTTCCATTTGAAAGTAAGTTGAAGTTATGTATGTATATAGAAGCAGGAAATAATGGTATAAATTTAAAATTCCATTTATCCTTTTTCTGAATATTTTTCCTTGTGCATGAAAATCTGATGTGGTAAGAGTACATCTTCTAGACAGAAAGCATTATGAAATTATATTTTTAATTGCTATTAATGCCTAATATTAAGTATGCTAATTTTGAAAATAATAGTTGAGAAAAATGACATACACAGTCTTAGTTCTCTGCAAGCTCCGCAGAAGCTCTTGTGCTCTGTAAGCTCTTACCTGCAGAAGGTGGAATTGCTTGAATACTGGAAAAAATCAACTGGATCTCTGTGTGGCTGTTTCATTTGCTAAAGCAAGTGTTTCTGAATTGCCATATTTGAATGCTATCCTAGTAGTCAAATACCATCTCTGACATGAAAGTTGGAGAGGTAGCTGGCAGTGGCAGTTCAGTGGATGTTTGAGAGCCCTGAACTACAATTTAGCATGTAGGTAAATTGTAATTTTTGGAGGTAAATTATTCTACTGTATGCATTTCCACAATGAAGAATGTTCCTTTCTCTTCACTATAAGTTTTTGATCTTGCTGATAAAGCATTGTTTTCAGGTCTGTACTTAGAGGTATTGTGATATGACACTAGATTGAACTCTGAATTTTGAAATATCTGCTGTAGTCTCCATGAGTGACTTAACTTGCTTATCTGTTTCTGTTTTGAAGTGAAAGCAGTCCTTAAAAAAAGAGAGTATGGACCAAAATACACAAAGAATAACTTCATCACTGGAGTAAGAGCAATAAATGAATTTTGTCTTAAATCCAGGTATGATGGGGCTGAGTTGAGATTTAAATTGTAAATATTTGTTTGTTCATATGTGCTTCAAATATAATTACAGTTTTAGGGTGATTTTTGTATAGCAACTTTCTAAATGCTGTTGTGGTTTATGTAATTATAAGTGGCTGAGGTTAGTTCTTGTTTACATAGTGTAGGAACTTGCACTTAGTTTGTATGTTTACGTAGCTGCTGCTTAAAGGAATTTATTTGTACTGATATGACCCTAAATCTACTTGGGGGGTGTTTTGGAGTGAGCAGCTAGTTATAAGGGGGAATGGCAAATAATTCTTCAGCATTTTGGGTCGTGATGGTTTGATGTTAACATCTGTGAAAGATGAGTGAAAACTTCATAATGTGAGTTCTGTTATTTGGAATAAAATATAATCTGGTTAATTGCAATTTTAACTGTTGTTACTTGATTCATATTTACTACCTTTTACTGTGTGCTGTGCCAGCAGGTCTTACTAAGTATTGCTGTAGTTGAGGTGTCTGTTGGATTTTATGCATTATGTGTGTGCCCCATATTAAATCTAAAGGCTTAACAGCTTTGTTTATAACTTTTTATGCTGTCACTGTTGCTCCCTAGTTTTTTTCATATAGTATATGTCACCAGAATATAGAGAATCCAGTGGCAAATTATTTTTAGTCCTCAGCTTTATTTTTGTCATAACTACCTTGTTGTGCAGAGAAATACCTAGCTCAAGTTTTGCTGGATTGACCAAAAGGGGTAGCAGGGGAAATGAAAATAGGACTAGATAACTGATTGGGCTAAAAATGAAATGTTCTGTTGTATTAAAAAAAATAAAAAAAAAATAAATCCCTGATGCGTCTCAATGTAGATGCTCCAATATGTAGCTCAGCACAGTACATTTATCTGTTTCCCCAAGTAACTTTGTTATCTCCAACCTTTTGCAGCTTGTGCTGGGTGTGTAGGTTTTGAGGTTACATTTCTTAACTTTTCATGTCATTTCACTTACGATTTCCGTTTCAAGATGTTAAGCCATGAGCCCCCTTGTTTGACACTGGTACACATTATCAGTTACATGCAGATTCATTGGATGTCATAGTATACAATGTTTTATTACTTTCTTTCATGTATAGTATTTCATAGTTTGAGGACATGATTTGAACTTTTGAGTGTGGAGGAAAACACAGTTGTTTTCAGTAGTATCCTAGAGATTGGTTGCTTCATGTTTTGTATCTGTTCTGTTTGGTGCAAGTAAACAGCTTCAGGTTTTTGGTCTGCAAAATAATAACATCAAAGTTGAGGAAGATCACCCAAGCATAAAAGTAAAAGTAAAATAATATGAACTTTTTCTTGTACTGAACTGTTTGTCCACTTTCCTTAGTGATTTAGACCAGCTGAGGAAAATTAAACGACGAAGCCCCCATGATGATACTGAGACTTTCACTGTGTATCTGAGATCGGATGTAGAGGCAAAGTAAGAACATTTGTATGAAAAAAATGTTTGCATCATTTAAAATGTATTATATGAGAGAGGACCCCTCCCCACCTTTTTTTAGAAGTCAGGTTTACAATGTGAAAGGGCAATAATATTTTCCATTTTCTATCGGAACACATTTTATACCCTTATTATTGCAATAATTACATGGGTATATACAGTTGGAGTGTCTGTTTCATGTGTCTAAAGATGAAGTGCTTGTCCTCAGCCCCTTCTTGCCCCTTACTGAGTAGTCTGCATGGCTTCCTATGAGAAAGAATGATATGATGATCTGCTTTTAGGAAAGGCATTTGTAATGTAGCCAAACAGAAAAGAAGTTGCATAATAGAACCATTGCTAAGTTACTTTCACTCTGTGCAGGTCTCTTGAAGTTTGGGGTAGTCCAGAGGCTCTTGCAAGAGAAAGAAAACGGCGTAAAGAGGCAGAGATCAAATACAGAGAAAGTGAGTACAGAGTGTTCAAATAACTTAAAATGAAAACAACAAAGTACGATTTTTTTTAATTTTTTTTTTTTAGAAATCATCTCACTGAGAACATACACATGTGGAATGAGCAATTGCTGATATGATTTCATAGCATAATGTAGAGTAACACATTAGTATCTAAGCGGAAGTAGTCTGTTACTATCTTGCAATTTGCTTGTCGTACACCAAGGAATGCATTCAGTTGATACCTATAGCTATGCTTCATCTTTTTAGGAGGGGCTTTCAATTTTTATCTAGTATTACCAGACACTTTGACACACTTTGTCACGGATCTGAAATCACTGTGTCACAGATCCGAAATCAGTGAATGGAGTCATCACACCAAAGGGTTTAGAGCCACACGTACTTTATGTGGACATATGAACACCTTATTAAAGGGGGATCCCCAGGAGTTGAGTGAACAATTATGGTAGTTTGCGACTAGTGACTACTGTGATTTTTTTTTTTTTTTTTAGATTAGAATATTCAAAAATTTTGTTGGTTTTTTTTTTGTTTTGTTTGGGTTTTTTTGTGTTTTTTTTTTTTTAATTTTTAAAAGACTTAAACCCAGTCCAAATCTTTATACCGTACCGTTACTCATATATGTTTCTTCTGAAATGAATTCAGCTTACCTTTGTGCTTCAGAAGGTGGGGAAAACACCCCCGCATCATTGTTTAAAATAATTGTCATCCTTGCTGGTATTGTCAGTAACAGATAAGATATTGTCAGATAAGTAGTTTGTAATGGATTTTGATTTATCTAGCCACTTAAAGTCACAGAAGAGGCAATATTGCTTCAAGGTACTTAATTATGCACCTTAAAGTTAGTGGTCTTGTAAATTACTATTATTAGTTTTTTTAAACAGTTTTGCCATTGGAACACCCTTGTAGTAAAAAGGCTAGAGCTGCAGGCACTTGTTAAGGCACCTGTAAGCGTTTGTACGGAGCGTGCAGCTTGTACTCTACTGGCTGTTTTAGGCTATTTAAGTTATTCTGTATAATGTACTTTGGATAGCTCTATAGGGAAGAATCTAGCACTACAGCTTCTAGACACTGTAATATACTAATGTTTATTTTCAAGTTACATCATTAGTGGATGCAAAAATACTGATGTTAAAAGACTTAGCTTGTAACATCTTTTTCCTTCTCTTCTGTGGTTAAAGGGTGAGAAGGGGGTGCTAGAAGGTCTGGATGTGGTGCAGTGTATTTGGAGTTTTCTGCCTCTGTGTATCGTCCTTTGTTGGTAGAAATGGCAACAGTGTATAGGATAATAGGTTGTATTTGGCATTTTGCATGTGTATATAACAATAGGTTTCTGATTAGCAATACCAGGAGAGGAGTTTATCACAAGGAAAGATAGACCATGTAGCCCTTTCTAGGAGGAGATACCTGCAGCATAAAAAAAATCCAGAAAATACTGGTTCCTATTATGTATTTGTGGTGGTAATTTTGTATTGCAGAACTATTTCGAAACCAAAGGCTGTTGTGGGAATACAAGGAGTTCTTTGGCAATACTAAGGTAAGAGATGTTTTAAAGATTTTTTTTTTTTTTGTCTGGAAAAGTGCTATGAGCTGTACTATGACACCTTTAGAAGAGAACAGTTGTTAAATGGTTGCATAAGCTTAACTAGCTGAATGTTATTGGAACATTTATTTGCACCATAATGTACAAGATCTGTCTCTGGTTGTAGTGCAGTGGTAAATATTATGATGCCGGTTTAAATGAGTTCCTATTGTGGCAGTGTAATCCACTTAATTACACTTAAGTGTAATGTTATTGTGGCCAGTAAGGTGTTCTGTTTACTCAGTTGTTGTCTTATTCACAAATACAGCTGCAATTTTATTTCATGTATAGAAGCAAAGTATGCTTCTTAATGAAAAAAACCCAAAACATTAACACTTTGCTCTATACCCTACTGACCCTTCCTCTCTGTTTAAGCCAACCCATTCCCTAGATCCAGGTGCTCTTCTATGGTAGAATGATGTCTTAATCTTTCTGCTGTGCAGCTGGCTCCTGTCCTTATGTTTGCAGTGTCTCCTGCTGGAGGCTTTGTTGGTGATTCATCGTTTTTATAGCCATCCGTTTGTAGAAATGTGTAAGGCTCAAATGCAGTTTGGGTGAGCATTAAGGCTTCAAGGCCTGTAGCTTCACTCTCGCAAAGCAGGGCAATGCAAAGTTTTTATTAAATAATCTGTATGGTAGGACCTTCATGACGTAAAGATTTGGTGATTTTATTTTAATAATCTCTTATTTCTTTATTTAGCCACGCTCCAGTGCAGCAGCTATGTTTTTCAAGGGACCAGGGAAGGTGGTAATGGTAGCTATTTGCATGTAAGTTAAAAAAGTTTTGTTTAAGCAAGAGAAAATTATTTATTTTTATTATCCTGGAAATGAGAACAGTCTGTATTCAAGTTAAAGATACCTGTGTCTCTGTAACTGATGTTAATAATTTGTTTATTTGTTGGTGGTGGGACAGAGTTTCGGTAAATACATTCACCAATATATAGTGATCAGGGTTAAAATATATCTGTGATCAGAGAAGAGCAAATTTTTTGATCAGACTAAACGATTTATTAAAGCAAAACCTAAAATTTTGAAGGACATGGAGAGGCAGGCATTTAAAGTTGTCCTTTTTTCTTGCTTCCCCTTCATGAGAGGAGCTTCATATATTTTAAATAATCTTCCAACAGAAAAGAATTAACTTCTTTCTGCTGTTATTCAGGGATCTTTTAGGTGGTTTTTGCCTTTCACATATAAGTTTGAATGAAACAAAACTAACTATACCAATTTAAAGCAAACAAATACAGATATTATCTGGCATGAAATACACAGAAGTATGTTACATTTCTGTTGGGAGAAAGCAACATTTTGAGCAGAAAATAGCTCTGAGTTTACCTACAAAACTATATGCTTTTTGCTGGGGAAAGGGGGAGAGCGTCAAACCATGTTTGACTGAAAACCTCCCTCTTTAATGTTCTACTAGTAATTATTCAGGGCTTTCTAAATAAAAATGTGTAAGAACTGTTAGTATGGGTGTTCATAATGGAAAAAAAAATAATGGGGAGGGGCCCAAATGATCACTTTTACCCGCTTCACTTTCTTGCAGTCTAGAGAAAACAGACCTTTCCTCCTCCTTTGTAAACAGGGCATTGCTATAAACATTGCACTCTGCACTTCATAAGTACCTTTTGAATGATTAGGTAATTTCATAGATGAATGCGTGGCAGCTAGGCCAGCAGAAGCTTGTAGAGCCTATTGTATTGCTCATTCATCTCGATGTGGAACTTTTTAGAAGTGGCACTCAAATACCTGATGGCTTTTCAGAGATATTAGTCAAGACTGCTATCAGTGCTTCCTTGTTTGTGGCCCTGATCTTCTTGACACCAGCATGATTTTTAGTGGCTTCTGGTTTGGGGTCAAGAAAGGCCAATCTGTCTTAACTTCTCAGTTTTGATAATTTGATAGGCTTCTCAAAAACTTCAGGCTTCCATAGTGAGGATAAAATGTGGTTCAGTCAAAGGCAGAGTTCTGACTAGCTTCAAAGGGAGACTAGCTGCATTGGCACCCTCCGTGTAGTTAATAGAATTGCTATGTGCAAGGAAAAGCTTTGAAGCTGTGGTAAGAAAACACAGGAAGGTAATGCTTTTAACAAAAAAGGAACAATATCTTTTTAGCAAAACATCCTTCAGAGTCTGGCATTGTTGCAGTGATTTCATTGTCATGCTAATGCTTTACCTTTTAAACAATACAAAGTTTGCATGGCATATAAGATTTATTAAAAACTACAAGTGGTCCAGGGTGTTAGTAATGTTACTGTTTCTCTAGAAATAGATGTGATGAAATGTGGTTAGTTCTCAAATGATACCTCAAGCCTAAATAGACTATTTTTCCCCATAGATTCATAATGGATCTAAATATTTAATATTTCCAGTTTGATTATTTTGACTTTTTAAAGTAAATAAGACCAGGTCCTTCTAGACCATTGCTTATGTGGTAAGGTAGAGTATGAAAAATGGGCAGTCCCATCGCAGTGCAATTTCCTGTATGTATTTTTCAGTTCCTCATAGTTTCTGTTCCCCATATACATCTTGGGGTTTTGTTGTGGTTATCCTTGAAAACAAATTTGGAATGATAAATTTGTAAGAAGTGCCCTTTAATTTTTTTCAAGTTCAGTCAGCATAGATTTGAGTTTGTTTTAACTGTAATTTAAGTTAGGAAAACCGTGTTTTGAGTAATTGATGTTGATCTACTTTTGCGCTTGTGGTAGTGTTTTTTTTCTTTTGTCCAGAGAAAGGCTGATTCTCTTCATTAATCAGTACATTTTAAAGTTACCAATTAAGTTTAGACTTTACATTAAAATTGACAGGGTTTCTGACAGCAAGGAGGATGTGTATCTGTTTCAACACTTCTTCCTCCTTTCCCCCAGTTTTCTTGGTGAATGTTTGCCTCCTCCGTGGACTTTGGAATACCGTTACAAACAGTTGTGTTGAATGAAATTGCTCGTTTTCTATGTGCAGAAGAGAGGCTTATTAGAAAATTCTGTATAGTAGTAGTTTTAGTAAGAACAGTAATAGAATTGTACCTAGTGAAACATGGTGGGCATTGGGCATTATTTCTTGGCATGATGTCCGAAACGTTACAATAAATCTTTTTCAGACTTTACCTATCTTTGGTTTAAGTTCTGTTAAGATTTCCTACTGTTTCAGGTCCATGTGGATAAAAGTGAGATAGCTAAATCAGTTAGTCTGGTTCATTTCGGTAAAATAGAGAATACAATTTCTGATTTGGTGGTCACTTACGTAACAGATAATTTTGTTTCAAACTGATTGAGGTACTGAGTATCTGTTTTCTCAGAATCTGCTGTTTTTTTTCTGCTGTTAGTAGTTGTATCTTCAATAGAATTTAGGCTTTCATAGGGATTAGTATTTTCAAATGCAGTGGTGAATTTGTTTTTTAAAGCAGAACATATTTTACTTGCAGTAAAAGCCTGACTTTGTTTTTTCTTTTCCTCCAAAATGACTTTTATCTTATTATCTTACATTGATGCAAACATCTAGTCAGAAAGGAAATGCTAAATAGCCTTGATGGCTCTATAGACTCATGGCTTTTGTAATCATAGAATCATAGAATAGTTAGGGTTGGAAAGGACCTCAAGATCATCTAGTTCCAACCCCCCTGCCATGGGCAGGGACACCTCACACTAAGCCATGTTATCCAAGGCTCTGTCCAGCCTGGCCTTGAACACCGCCAGGGATGGAGCCTTCACAACTTCCTTGGGCAACCCATTCCAGTGCTTCACCACCCTTACAGTAAAGAACTTCTTCCTTATATCCAATCTAAACTTCCCCTGTTTAAGTTTTAACCCATTACCCCTTGTCCTATCACTACTAATAATTTCCTGCATAGCACTCTTTCTATCCTGTGTCTCCAACTTCTTGGACATCATTAATAGATTAATAGATTGGGCCTCACATTTGGAAATCTTAGTATGGCTTCTTTTCAGATTTCTAGGATGCCATGTTTCCCCACAAATTCATAATTGGTAGGGGTGAAATAGTATCATCGAAGTGCCTACTGTGTCATCTGAACAGGTGGGGGCCCCACAACTGAAATGTACGTTCAGATAAGCTGTCAACTCCATTAACACAACACAGAGAAAAATAAAAGAGACTGTGCGCATGAATCTCACTGTAATTTATTTCATTTCCTTTCTGTGCTGAAGATGCACTATGCTGTGAATTGGAGGAACTTATAGTTAACACAGGGAGTTTAAATTGTGGTTTAATGATACAACAGCCTTCTGTTCTTCTTGGAATATCCACTAACGTGTGCATTTTCTACTTTCCACCTATAAATTATGGTGATGATTCACCATATCATGAGGCAATGAGAAAAAATTGGCCCTTGTATTGAAGCAGTTATAGAAAACACTGCTAAAGAAAAATGTATTTTCACAGAAATTCTTTGAGGATGACCTTGGAAATGAATCTGATATAATCAATTACATAATTTGGTGTATGGCAAGGGGCTGGACTTTGTGCTTCCTGTAACTTAAATATATTTTTTTTGGCATCTGGTTGTTCAAGAATGCCACTGTAATATGTTGTTAATATTTACTTATAACAATTTCATTGGAATACTTAAAAAAATTGCTAACAAGATAAACTGAAATATATTTAAAAAAGAGGAGAATGTTAATAGCCCTCTAGTCTAATTTTCTTTGCAATATGATTGTAACAATTACTCTACTGATTCTGATAATGAATGTTTGAAGTGAGAATATAAACTTGGATTTTAGTGTTGACAGCTACCTTTCTCAGAACAGCATAACACGATGCTTACTCCAGGGAGCCTGTAACCTAAGAAGGCTTGACAGGTCACACTGGGCATCTTAATAGAAAAGTTCCGTAGATAATTTTTACAGTGTAATCTGATGAGAGCCTTGCCTTCCTGTTTGCTGTCTTATGTTTCTATCTTACTTGGAATTGCCCATGCTGAGATTAAAGTTGGGAACCTTGGACTCCACTGTTAGGAGGGGGTAGCAAAGGACTGAAAAGCAAAAATTAAAAACGACTGAAAAAAAAGGAAAGAAGGAGCTGAAAGAGAAAAGGAAATCATTAAGACTTATTTTCCCACTGGTAAGGCCATTAGTTCTAAGTAGCGAATGTGATAGTAGTTTTCATGAAGTGTAACTGCTTAGAAGTTACTGATTTTTGAAAAATAAAAAAAATGTTTGCATATGAAGTTAGCTGAAAGGGTATTTTAACAGTAACCATACAGAAAATCTGTATGCCTTACCTGCCTGTATAGGTCTGTAATGATTAAACTGATACGTGGTTTCGCCACTTGTTGGCAGGTAATGCATCGTTATAGGGCACTTGTGGTTTTGTTGAAAATATTAAAGACCAGATATTCTGTTGTTCTTTAGCTTATTTCTTCTCTTTGTTTTCAGAAATGGGTTGAATTTTTTCTTTAAGCTACTTGCTTGGGTTTACACGGGTTCTGCAAGTATGTTTTCAGAAGCCATACATTCTTTAGCAGACACATGTAACCAGGTGAGTATTTTTCCTATTCTGCTTAAGTTAGCACTTATAATAATTTTTCAGGAATAAAGGTAGATACTTACAGTAGTTGTATCATACTTGAAAGCAATAATTTAATCTGCTAGTGCTCCTTAGTTGCCTATGCTGTCTAAACAGGAAGCATCAGAGAAATTGAAGCAGTATTTTATTTAGGAGGACTAGAATGCATAGCAGAATACCTTTTTCTTTATAAAGTTTGCTCATAGATAACACTGGCATTGTAGATAAGCCTAGAATTTCCAAGTGTGTTAGTCAGAACTTTAAAAATGACTCTCAGGTTTTGCTGTGGTGTGTCTTTACAGTGCTCTTGCTGTTCAATATCCATGATAATGTACTGTTTTGTATGATTTACATGCTCTCTAGAATTATTAGTAATATATTCTAGGAGGTAAAAAAGCTAATACTTAATCTAATGACCATTTAAATAATCTGGAGGCAAAACAGTCTTAAAGATGTTTTTAAGTAAGCAGTTTCTTCTGGGAGAGGGTATTTTTGTGTTTTATTATTAAGTAATTTCTGGCTTCAGTCATGGTGATTACAAAGCCTGCCCAGAGTCTGACAAGCTCTCTATGCATGCAGTGGGAAGAAGATGCAGTTTTTTCTGTATGCCTGTAGCATACACATACTTTTTTTAGCTTCCCAGAGACACAAACCAATGTTATTGCTATATACAGTTTTTATCAAACTGTAGGCAGATGAAGGCATATTTTGTCAGAAATTCACATTACTTCAGAAAAGTTGCTAAGCTCAAAGCTCTTTCTTTTGTTTCCTGATCTGAGTGCAAAGCTGTTGTTACTCAGTTGCAGATTTACTTGCCAAAACTGGTGGTTTCAGAAGGTTTATTTAGCTACATTTTATTCCTCTTTTTTAATTTGATGCCAGTGATCTGATGGAGGGTTTATAAGCTAACAGTAAAATAACTGACCTAGTCTAGAAGCCTTAAATGCAGAAGGAAACTAGAAAGAGTTGCTGGTAATGATCAAGTTTGGACTAGTATTTCTGTTAATATAATACTGTTTATAATACATCTACATTATTTCAAACCACCTGCCCCAATTACTTCTGTTCTTTAGTAAAATACTGGGTTTGCATTGTTCTGTACTTCAGTTGCAATTTATTTTCCCTGTAAGTATCAAGATTTGAAAGTGCACCAGAAAAGGGTAAATGGGTTATATTATTAGAAATATATATAAACATTAGCAGATAAGTCCCAGGATAGGCTTAATTTTGTTACAATGGTATGTGTAATGTGACCAGTCTTATCTTTAGGACATGGTGTCAGAACAAAATCTTGGTAATTTGGGTTGCATGCTTCTTCTGCTCTGCCTTGTTCCTCCTGGACAACAGTGATGTATCTGTCAGTTATCTTGAAGTACTATTGAGTGCCTGTCCAGATTATAATAAAAGAAAAAAAAAAAGGGTGTGTTTTAATTTGTATTAATGTAAAAATGAGACATGTCAGTGTAGGTTCTGAAGTTTTTTCAGAAATCAGTTGAAATTTGAGAGGAGTTGTAGTAAGCAGAACTATACTGAGCTACTTTATGGATTGTAAGTAGGACTAGAAAGTAAGAGGAAGTACATAGTATGCTTCTTTCTTGTTCTGGTTAAATGTTAACTTGAAATACTTTTCCTGTCACTGTAATAGAATGACAGGCTTTGTTGCTTAGTCATCTTGTAGTAGAATAATGATGAGAATTTGTGCATCTCTCTTTCTATTTGTAGGCTGCCTTAGCAGCCTCTCACAGCCCAAGTAGCCATGTACTTGGCACATTTACGTTGATAGTTGATGTGGCAAAGTCGGAGCTGGGCACATAATATAGTATGCAGAGACAAAATTAATGTTGTGTCTCACTATTTTCTTTAGTATGCTTGAGGCATTCATTATGAGATGCTGAAATTTTCCCTTCTTCCACCGTTGAAGGAATTCTTCTTGTTGCTGTTTTTGATACCAGTAAGGCTTTGGAAACAAAATAAGTACCTCAAGATGAGTGGTTGACACCCTCCTGCAGCTCAAGCAAGAGAAATCCTTGGATAGCTTTTGACACATACAAAATGCAACAGTGCTCCTCCACATTTGAGGAATGTATGAAATCTTGGAGCAGACTTAATATCCTAAAATGCATTTTAACAAAATTTTGGCTACCTTTTTGCTTTGGTTGAACCTAGTATGTTTCTGTGTCCAGAAAGACTGAGTTGAAGACTTGCATTTTGCTTGCTATTTTTCAATAAACGTTTTCACACAACCTTTCAGCTGTTCCAGCTCTGAAGTGAAGACAGGGGCACTACTAACCTAGCTCATAATACTTAAAAGAAAATTATGGGGAGGCAGCCTTCAGGTGTGTGATTTTCAGTTGGCCAACTGTGTCAGTTTATAGGTGAACCAAGTTTGATTGTGGTATTATCTACCACTTTATATGTAGAAAAGCTATTCTGTTAACTGTGAAAGTTAATACTTCATTGTGGTTTTGGGAAAAACACAGGAGAAAACTTGCTGCCTCAAAGCAGTTTGCTGCTGTGAATACTGAAGTGTCTAAATTTTAATACTGGTTATTATGCTTCAGTAATTCAGACTTGTAAAACAAAGCACGTGCTTTGCAAAATCGAGATCTAGATTTATAACTTACTGTATCAAGTTTAACACATGCCTAAATAAATATATCCCAAATGGGCCATTTAGATATCGAGAGGTTTTTATTTCTTCCTTCAAAATATTTTTCTTCAGTTTGGAATATTTCTGTAATGATGGAAGCTGCAGTATAAAATTATTGCTTTAAATGTAGTGTGCCATCACCACACTCTTTGTATAATTTCTCTTCAAGAGGGATTTATTTAAATAGCTTTGTTCCCTGAACAACTTCATTCCTTCACGTTGAAGTAGAGCAACAACACTTATGATTGTACATAATGTTCACTTTCAGTTGCAATTATAGAATTATAATTAATATTAATTATATATATACACACTATGTATATAGTTCTATATAGTATATATATGGGAGTAATTTTTGGGGGGGCAGTAGGTGTAGATGACAGATTTTGAGGATTGTATTTCAGTTCTTGTACAATATCAGTAACAAAGTATGTGTGCAGATTGGCAAATTGCATCTGCCTTTATCATTCAAGTTCTGTTGATACAGAATGTTTCTAAATGTTTTCATATTTTAATAAAGTTTTGCTTCCTTTCATCCTGAATAGGCATTGCTAGCTTTGGGCATCAGTCAGTCTGCAAGGACGCCGGACCCTAGTCATCCGTAAGCTTTTTGAGTAAATAATGATTTTGTAATTTTATATAGGAGTGAGATCAGTTCTTGTTTTTGCAGCAACTTGTTCTTAATCTCTTGTTTCATATAATTTCTGAAATGCATTGTTTATGATTTTGAAAGAGAGAAAACTGCAGATTTTTTCAAACTGCAGAAGTTACAGCTTCAGTGGTTTGATACAAGCTATACTTTTTTTGTGGTATGCTTTTTGATGTGTATTATTTTAATTGACATTACTTCTTTATGTTATTTTGGGCTCTTCTGCCTCTTTGAATGGATAGCTTTACTTTGTTTTTTAATGATGTTCACATGAATAAGTTTTTTTTAAAAGTAAAAAATACTTATTTAAAACAAAGCTCTTTTCTGCAGGGCAGCTACTTGTATCATAGAGATGTGTTTGACTCAAACTGCTGTTTGTTTTTGTCTGAGTAATAGGGATGTTACTGGTTAGCTGTTACAGCTTCATGAAAGTCAGAGGCTATATGCTCTGTGATATTTTCTTGGTGTTGACCTGCTTTACACTTCACATTATTGGTCAGATCATTCATATTGTAAGCACTAGTTGAAAATACATCTCATTTAAAGAATTGTTTCTTTCTTTCTTAAAATTCATTAAGAGCATCAGGTAATTTGAAAAATATTTCAATCTTAAATTTGTCTAAATATTTGTTTTATCTCCTTCCCCCATTTCACTTTTTCCTTTCTTTCTAAATATAGTCTTTGTACTATTGTTTTTTAGATTTTGCTAAAGAAATGTACCATTTGTAGTAGCAGTCAATAGTAAAAAAACAAAGGTACACTTTCAATATTGGTTTAGTTGCTCTTAAAAGCTGAAAATATTGAATGTCTGCAGTTAGTTGAACTACGAAAAGATGTCACAAATTTTATTTCCTTTAAATTAGCATTATAAAATAGGTAGGCTGGCTGCCTATAAGGCTGAAGTTTTCATTTAGAAGTAGCATTTCTGTAAAATGTTAAAGTATGTTTTTTTTTCTGTTAGTAAAATCCTCAGTATCTGCATAAAAATCAATATAGCTGCATAAATAACTTATTTAAAAAAGAATTAGAAAAATATCTATGCTTAATGTCATTGTGTGTACTAGCTATGTTTTTCCAGGTGTCATCTTTTTCCTTGGATTAGGTTGAATTTAACAGCTTTATCTTAAATGGATGCCTAGTCATATGATGATGATTTAAGACATGTAAAACTGAATGGAAAAAACATGTAGATGTGCTTGCAGATATATAGAATCTTATTTTCCTAAATCACTTTCTTTTTTTTCATGTAGGTATGGTTTCACAAACATGCGCTATATTGCCTCCCTGATTAGCGGAGTGGGCATTTTCATGATGGGTGCGGGACTGTCTTGGTATCATGGGATCATAGGTTTACTCAACCCTCACCCTATAGAATCTCTTCTCTGGGTAAGCTAATGTTGTTTGATATTGCATCTAATGTTGGTGACTTAATAGAAAGTAAAGGCACGGTCTGAAATTCACTTCCTGAGTGTTTGAATCCCAACACAATTAGCTCAAACCATCCTGAATGAAAATGTGTTTTAAGAAAAAAATCATGTTAAACTAGCTGATCTTATAGCAAAATGAGCTATTCTTTAAACTTTGTGTTTTCCCTTCACACATCCCAAGAGGTCCTCCTTTCCTATTTTGCAATATATTGCATGATTCAAATATTGGCTACCTTGGGTTTAGGGAGAGCTACATAGCACAGTGGGTAATGAGGTTCTGAAATGCTGTGTTTGGATAGTTAGTGGTGAAGGGATCTGTATAAATACACATATAATAACACTTTTTTTTTTCATACAGGCATACTGCATTTTAGCAGGGTCATTGGTATCTGAAGGAGGTAATTTCAAGAATTGTTTCTATTTAATTATTCATAATCTCTAAGAATACAATGTAATTGCAGTAATAATTGGTCTTTGCTTTCATAGTAAAGTTTTGAGCTCTGCTGCAAATATTTGTGTTATAAGCAAACAAAAAAATGTGGTAAAACTTTTATTATCTCTCTACATAATAAGAAGCTGAATAACATAATTTGAAAAGTGTACATGGAATGTCTTTGAGGTATTAAACTATCAGTGAATGTAACAGTTCCAATTTCTATGGGAGACATGCATGTAGAGAAGAAGGTAATTCAGGTTTTTTTAGTGATTCAGTGTATCACTAATCAGAGATTTTTTGATCTCTTGCTATTTATAAAGAAAAGTTCACTCTTCAAAATGCAAGCAAGTCTTTGCCTCTAACCATTTTAAGCAACTACTTTGGTGTTGTTTCAGCTACCCTTCTTGTTGCTATAAATGAAATTCGCAGGAGTGCTCGAGCCAAGGGTCTGTCATTTTATCAATATGGTATGTGTCATTATAGCAGTAAGGTATGCCGTTATTTAAAACAGAATCTATTTACCACAATTTGCATAATGATAGAAACAATTTTCACTGTATTCCTTTTCCCTTGCTTTATTGATCTCTTTTCTATTCTAGTAACAAATACATTTTACAAATTGGGTGAAAACCTGTTGGTTAACACTACTTAAATACTTTTACTAAACTACTTGCGTTTTTCAGGATAAATACCCCTTTAAGTTTTTCAGACATTATGGAGAAGCTTCAGTAATTGGCACAGGGCTTTTTCTGTGCATTTATGAATGCTTTCAGGGGTGTATGCCTATGCAAAAATTCAGTTTACACCTATATACTTAAGGAAATTTTTCTTTTAAGTTGCTGATGTTAGCATAGTTTAAGTACTATGCATAATGTAGTAAAGGTAAGCATTTCAAAGCAATGTGTGTTTTGTTTTTTTTTTTTTTGTTGTTGTATACGCAGTTGTACAGAGTCATGATCCTAGTACAAATGTGGTGTTACTGGAGGATGCTGCAGCAGTTCTAAGTGTGGCCATAGCTGCTACGTGTATGGGTCTGACTTCTTTAACAGGTAAAATTGTGCCTCAGGCTGAGGCAGTCAGGATGTGAATTTACCCCTGTGCATGGTATGAACGCAGAGCATTTAGTTTATATTGGTTAACTTAAATGCATCTCTACTCTCTTTTTGATGCTTGTACTGTGAAAGGTTCTGGAGGTTTAGACTCTTCTCTGGTCAGATTTCTAGTAGTCTGAGTTGGAAAATATTTAAGATTAAATTAAAGTTCAGCTTTTTTTTTTTAATATGTCAAAAGGGTTAAGCTTGAAAGAGTACATGTAGGTGGGTCTAACTTCCTTCTGAGCTACTTTGCATACAAATGAAGTTATTTTTTACTAAAGGTATGTTTATTGTAATCAGTTATGTATATCACTGTGATGTGGTGGGATTACGTATCTTGATTTTCCTTATTCAGTGATGTGCATGGGTTTGTGGGGAGGACTTAAGGAAGCAGTTCCTTCCTCTGGTTTGTTATGTAGTGGTATTGGTGTTATCTTCAGATTACAATAGCTACTCCTAAACAATGCAGCAAACCTAAGTCATGCAGGTGGGATGATCTGTGTGGCAATTGATTCAAAGTATGTCTTTGCCTGCACAGTTAAGATTTATGAAGAGGGAATTTGTTTATTTGTCCTGTTTTAAGTATTGGCTTTTCAATATTTTTAAAAAATAAATATGTAATTTTCTTTGTGGCTGCTAATGAATTAATTGCAAGTTTCACTTTTTTATATAGAAGCCAGTTTTTTTAATTCCATTTCTAGTTTCTTTGATTAAAAAAACCCATTATACATTACTGTTTCTATAAGTATGAATATGAAAACTTATAAAAGTACAGTATTCCAGCAATGGTTAATACGTGCAAGTTTTTGAGTTCCTGGTAAAAGAACACAAACTTTTATGCTACTACCTGAGTTTAGGTGTATATAATTTTATATTAATATAAGGTAAATCTATACACAGAAGCCTAAGTAGCTTACAATAGTTTACTCTGTTTATTAGTCCTTCAGGAGACAGGAGTGGCTAAGGGACAGGAGGGACTCGAGACTTTATCTTAAAATAACTTTTTTTTTTTTTTTCCAGCTTCACTTTGTTCCTTAGTAGGAAGGAATTGCCAGTGCACTAAAAACAAACAAGGGAACAAAAGCACACTACAAAATCTAAAACAAATCCCACCAAAAAACAAAACCAACCAATCAAAAAAACCCCCTCAAACTATGTACTCTCTTTCATGTGATATTTGAATTATCTGCTATATTTTAGAAATGCTCTGTGAAATTAATTTGACATTATATTGTTTAGGAAACCCATATTATGACAGTGTGGGGTCTCTAGGTGTTGGAACCTTGTTAGGAAGTGTGTCAGCATTTCTGATCTACACTAACACTGAAGCCCTGCTAGGACGATCCATTCAACCTGAACGACTGCAGCGACTCACTGAGTTACTGGAAAGTGATGCTGTAGTAAGGTAAGAGTCTTTACAGCTGCATCAATACTAAGAACAACAAAAAGCAAGAAAATTACATTGGAAAAAGTAGTTCAAGCACTTTAAATGAATCTGGTGAGATTGATTATTTTAGGGTGGATTCTTCTGTACTGAGATTTTAGAATCTTAATTATTACTAGCTTCTATTTCTGTGAAATTTCTTTCTAAAAATTTCACTAAGTAAATACTCATGCCCCTCAGATATTCCACAGCTGAAATAAAATTGCAAAAAATGTCCTAAGTTACGTAAGTACAGGAGCTGACAGTGACTTAATGAGAAAGCCATCACAAACTTTAAACTGTTTTCAAATGCTGAAATGCAAGCAGATAAGTTATACTGTACTGTTGCTTTTATAGTTTATGAGAACTTAAATCTTTAAATTCTGTTAATGTTAATATTCAGTATCTGGAATTCCATAACACTTGGCAGTGGAGTACTGCAGTAGTATTACACTGTAATAGATGCTTTATGTTAGATACTTACAGAATTAACTCAATGTTAATTTTTCTTCTTTGGAAATCCAAAGTTTGTAGTACAATAAACTTACAGCTCACTGTAATTCTGAAATCTTGTTTAAATGCTTTCTAGGGAGCTATTTTAGCTTTAATCCTCTTAACCTTGATTTAGAAGCAAAACCCTTTTTGTTTTCTTCTTGATCATTATTCAGGAATATATTTCTGTGTAAATCAGATGGAATATTTTAGGTTTTTTATTTTTATTCATAGTCATTACTGAGCTCTGGAGACAAAAATCCAAGCCCATTAGTTAACACAAGAATACTTGAAAGAAACTTAAGTGCTGCATCATCTCAGTTGCAAGCAACAGGTCTGAATGACATGTCTTTCGTTCCAGAAGCTAAACAAGATTCTTATTTTGGAATAGAATTGTGTTAGAATTTTCACATGTCAGTAACTAAACTCTGTGGTGGCCCTGGATTAGTCTGAATGGTGGAGCATGTGTCAACAGTGCTGTGTTAGAGTAGGTGAGTTAACATGTTTTTTTGTACGCGACTTCTGTAGTTCTTTTTTTCCCCAAAGTGCGCAGGTGGCTTTTGCTTGTCTCCAGCTGGAATCGTGAAATTGCTTCTATCCAAGCACCAGTTTATATTATATTTCATTTTGTTGATGGCTATAACTTCTCAAGAGAGCAATCGTAGTTTATCTCCTTCTTGCTGTAGACTTTTTTTAAACAAGAAGTAACTTAATTTTTAAAAGGAACACAGAGTAAAAGAAATAAAGACTTGGTAAGAAACTGTGTTTTTCTGGAGGTTAGAAGCTGAAATGTGTAGGTACTCCTTACAATGCTGTTTGCAGGACGTTCTCTATGCCCTTTGTCTTGACTGATCTCTTTCTTAGTTCCATTAGATTATCTGCTTTGATTTCTTTTAGCACACGCTTTGTCTTTGACCACAATCTTCTTGTAACAAACCTAATATTTTGAGCTTGGTTAACTTACACCTACTAAGAAGACACCTGGTCTTGATATCTCTGAGATGTTAAAGTGTATTACCCTTGCTTGTAATGAGGAATAATATGGGGAAAAATTTTCCTTTTTTTTTTCTTTCCTTATTCCAGTCTTGGTTAGATAGCTTGTTTTGGTTTGTTTTCAGCTTTTTCTTGTGAAACTAAGGAGTCTTTTACCATTAAGTATGTCTTCAAACCGCTACTTGTAGTTTTTCATTCAGCACAGCTTTGGGCTTGTAAGAGTTTCAGCATTTTCTTGAACATTCAAACTTTACTTAAATGGAGGTGTGTACTGGTCTGTCCTACTCTTAGATTTTTTTCCTACCAATACCAAGTGTAAAAGTTCCCGAGTACTGGCCTGCTTCTAAAGCTGTGACTATTTGCTCTTTTTATTTCAATGTTTCAGGGTTTTCAGCTGTCTCACTGTTTATGAGATCTTACTGCAATCCTTTTTTGCAGTTGCTGCTTCCCAAAACAGGTCTTCCTTGTTCATTCATGGAGAGTTTGCAGTCTTCACTTTTAGGTGTGTTTTCCAACATGAAGGGAATATATTAGGGAATCATTCCGTATTCATCAGAAGATACTTAGTTCCAAATTGACCAAAGGATACAGAGGCTCTGATTTCCGCCCTCTCCTGTCCCCATCAGCAACACCACCACTTAACTTGTTCAGGCAAGCCACTGTTGGAATACTGTCATGTTCCACTGCTAATTACAAAGTATTTAATAGGCAATATTAGCTGCTGTTGGTTTATGTAGTTGTTTGAAAATATCTGCATTCGCTAAAACCTTAGTGACTGGAATTAATGCTCATAATGTATAGTTTTTCCCCCACCCTTTTCACTGTTTTCCCTTGGGTTATGAGATGAAGTTGTCTTTAATTACATGGGTTGCCTCATTTATGGTTCTTAAATTTTGGCACAGTGTTTTTAATCTACACTTTGTTAAAAAAACTATCATTATTGCAGGATGAAAAGTTATTTGCCTTCACAGTTATTCTTGGTTCTTTTTACTCTTGAATAATAGTTGCGGAGCCTGCTGAATTATTAGCATTTTTTTCCTTTCAAATATGCAGTATGCTTCTGGGCCACTAATAGGGAAATGCTTTGCTGTACTAATACTTTGTTTTTCCTTTTTGGTCAAGGAAACAATGATTATTGCATGTTTCTGTCTATGCAGTAATAACTACCATTTCCATCTAGTAGCAGGCTTGTTTCCAGGTTAATCTTTAGTTTTGCTATACTTACAAACCAACTTCTTTTTTTAATCACACACAATTCCTTTCTTTTATGCTTCTATAATTTTGCTGGATTTCTTCTTTAGGCTTTTGGCTTGGTAATTTCTACTTTTAGGCCTTATTTAATTTGTCATCCAGAATGGGCTTTTAGTTAGAGTTGTTCTCAGCTGGAAAATTTCTTGATTTTGGTTTTTGTTACACAAACATTCCATTCTTAACTCTCATTGAAACCTTTGTTACCTAAATCTTTCCTGTGTTCAGCTTAACTGAAGTGTAGGAGATGAGGCTTTCAGGACTGTGAAATAAAATACATGATGTGGTACAGACTGTCCTGATTCTGTTCTTATGCAATGTAATGGTGGATCTCTAGGCGTAAACTGTTCTTAGTTTCATCTTTAACTTTTACTTCATTGTAACAGCTGTTGGGTAATTGTGCTACTGTTGTGCTGGAAAATCTGTCATTCTGGTTTGGAGGAGTGAAAAAAAAAAATAGTTACAACTGATGGCTCAAACCCAGTACCTTGGTGTCCTCTGACAAATTTTTCTTTCATTTGAAACTTTCTCTTTTCCCTAGTTTGAATTGATGGTGTCTGGTAGCCATCCAGAAGCTTCCAGAAGCAAGCTTTGTAGCACATGCATTTGTGTTCTTGAATTATTTGTGATTTTTTTTTTTTTTTTTTTTTTTCTCTCCTCCTGACTCACTGTCTTGTCTTTCCTGGATGCATTATATGCAGTAAGGTAGACTTTTTTCTTCACATTTACAGAACATGCGTCATTCCACTGAATTCTGTCAGGTTGCTGCTTAATGAGACTCTTGGATATCTTGTTGCTTAGCTCTGATAGGCCCTTGATATATCTTCAACATTTTTTGAATCACATGAATTCACATTCTCTTCATATAGCCCTCATTGAAGCACATCTGCTATCTTAAATACCCTCTTGTGTGAGGAGGTAGTTTGATTCCAGTTAGGTTATTCCAGTTAATACTGTTTTGATTTGGTAACTTCCCACAGGAATAGCTGTGTAAATTTGATTGGAGGTGGAAATTCTTTATTGCTATCAGTAAGCTGTAGCAGTTCTTTTAATCTGCTTAAATGTTTGCTAAGATGTATTTTTTTTGTGTGTGTCTCTATATTTAGGTCATGTTCTATTTTTTTTTCTAATGTGCTTACCCCTCCTCCAGCTTTAGTATTGCCAGAAATATTCCATAAATGTTTCCTCTGGCTATTCATCTGAAATATCTGCCTCCTGTTCTTTGTCAGCAATTCATTCTAGCAGGCTACTTCCAAAATCTGTGCATTCCGCTTTCTTCCTGCACTGCCTGTGAACTTAGTTCTGATTTATAAACATTCAGATGAGTTGGTAAGAATAAGTTTGCTTAAGACAAAGGGCATACTAAATTTAAAAGGATGCTGTGGAATTGCGCAACTTAGTGAAATGAATGGGGGTGGGGTGGGGAGGGGAAGCTTAGTACTTTCCATTAAATGAGCTTTATTGCTGATTCTAAATTTTTTGTTAAAATTTTTAAAATTGCAATGATTGCATTTTTCTGGTAATAAACCCAAAGTCTTTGGGATATTTTATAGTTGACCCCACATACTTATTTTGCCATGGAAATGGCTGAAGGAAGAATTAAAAAAAAATAGAAACTTCTTTGTGATTTATATTCCATGGTTTAGTGTCCACTTTTTTCTGGCCTTGATGGAAAAAGGAAACTTATTCTGCAGTGGCAATTTTAAATTCTACTTGGCTTTAAAGATAAACTTAAGTTTGTGTTAATCTAATTAGAAAAAAAAAGAGATGGTATTTTATGATTTTTATTTTATTTTTATTCCAGTGTTAAAGTTCATCATAATAATCTGGGTCCTGAGTTTGCTTCATGTCTTACTGAAAATTAGAGCATGCTTTGTTTATTACCTATATTCATACCTCATAGAGTTTATCTAACAAACTGGAACAAAACTGTGCTGTAAGGAAACAGAAGTTTTCAAAGGACCAAAATATAAACATGCTGCAACATCCATGTTCTAGTTATCTATTAGGAACCTTTAAATATACATTTTCAGCCTGTACTAACAGTTGTCTTGTGATTAGTCATGATCAGTAATTCAGTATGAACAAAAGTGATTTCCAATCACAATAACCATACCTTATATCAAATACAACTTTGCATAGAAAATTCTCCAAAAGGCCATGCCTTCACAAATTGTAGTTGTCCAAAAAAACGTACTTCCATAATTGCAGTGTGTGCTTTCAGTAGCTGACAGTATTGTCCCTTACCTCAAAAGTGAGGGTACTTGAGGATTGTTAAATACGTGTATGCACAAAAACTGCTGTGCAGCAGTGAGTAAGTTGAGTAGGAAGGGTATCACTTTCTGTTGTGGGATATTTTTATAACACCATTAGTCTAGTTCTGAATCTGTGATGCATTTTTGTAGTATGTCTTTTATTGCAGCGAGCCATTTATACATGTGTTGGTATAGCAGACATCTGTGAAAGTTGTATAAGCAATTAAATATAAGTCAGTATTTAATATAAATGTGTGGTGGCAAAATGAGGATGTGTTAGTCACAGGCAGTGGCCTTTTAAAATTACAGAATCGTACTGTGACAATGTTGTTAACATCAGAAGTCAAACTACTTAGCTGTTTGTTTTATGTTCTTCTACATTTTCTTCAAAATTTATGTGTTTCAGAGCAATTCATGATGTTAAAGCCACAGACCTGGGAATGAGCAAAGTGAGATTCAAGGCAGAAGTAGACTTTGATGGACGGGTTGTTACTCGTTCTTACTTGGAAAAACAAGACATTGAACAGCTGCTACAAGTATGTTTTAAATAATCTTTCTGTAACTTCTAGTATTTGATATTTATTTTCTAATTTCAAATATGTCTAAACCCTAGATTTTCAAGTAGGTGAGAGATATTCCACTAATTCTTTTTGACGGATTGCAGGTGATTTTACTTGGTGTTAGCGTGCTAGATATCTCTGTGTGGAATTGTATTATGTGCTGCTGAAATAGAGCCATTTGTGGGCTGAGTAGGGCCTGGGTTGGAAGAGGACAGATATTTTTGTCCACAATAAGAATGTATTTATTCCAATAAATTTTTGTTGAATTACAAGATCTTTAGTTAAAACTGGAAGCATGTCACCTGAGAATAAGCATCTGTTTTGGCAGAGCCATTTGTCTTGGGTGCTGAAGATGTAGTCTTAAGGTTTACAGATCCTGCCAGTCAGACTAGACTTGAATATGGATTACTTGCATCACATCGCTTAGCATTTTGACAGTGTTTAATAAGTAACCTGTCTTCAGCATCTGTCTCCGATTTCAGTGTTGTTCAGAGTAGCTTTTCTTAATTCTTCAATATAGAAATGAAAAACTATTCTCAGATGGATTCTGCATGGCAAAGCGATGAAATATGAAGTGAAGAATAATTTATCTAAATTACAAGATTTTTAAGTGAGCAAAATGTTTTGCTTGCTTACCCATTTTCACCAGTAACATGCTTGCATACCTACAAGATTTCTTTCTTTGCTACCCTTTCAAAATGAAAAGCAGGTATCTGCATTTTATGTCTGTCCATTAGGTACAACTTAGAAGTTATCTGAGTTTACATTTAAATTAACAGTTTTTTTAAAACATTAGTCAGTGTCTGAGTTCTTAAAATGTACTACTCTTTAATGTCAAAATAAGAATGTATATATATTATATATACAGTGCAGTAAGTGATCTGTTCGTGTGTTGGATTTCAGTTTAATACATTTTGAGAGGAAGAGTGCTGTCAGCTTTGTACAGCTGAGGCACTGCAGGTTTGCTTGGTTTTATATTGCCAAACCTCAGATTCTTTGTTGCAGCTGGTTAGTGCACTACTTTTCAAAGACTTTGTTAGCTCTTGTTCTTTACCTGCTGTTCCCTTTGGTGCTTGCATACAATGGTCGCTTGTTCTTCCAACTAGTATTGTTGGGAAAGTTCTTCCTGATTGTTTCTAGGTTGACAACTGTTTCTTACACAGGTCATCGTAGTTTCAAGTAGTAACCTTGTGTCAGCTATAAAATCATTGTTGAAGGTAGCTGTTTTCAGCAGGATTTTGCCCCTACCTGAAGGGTAGACATAATGCTTGCCTTTTGATCTGTAGTTTTTCAAATAACTAGCTCATTCAACTGGCATTGCTACCAACATTACTCTTTCTGAAGTTGTGAAATCATTGAAATGCTAGCATTCAAATTGCTCTCATTTCTTTTTCTTGTTAGACTTGCTGTGATTTTAGTCACAGGGTATTGGAGATGGGGTATCTTTTAAGCTCACTCAGTTACATTATTCCTCTGCAGTTTCAGAGTAATAGGGAAGGTGAAAGACACTGATGTTGTGTTGTAGTTACAGACACATAAAAAAAAGAATTAGTTATTTAATAATTACTTTGCCCATTAGCAATAACCTATTTGTCCTAAACATACTGCAGTTGTATTGCCTAAACTGTGTCTGAGATACAAGTCAAATGGCTTCTGGCCAGCATCATGTGAGACCTCTAAGGAAAGCTCATGACAGTGCTGTAATACCTGCTTTGGTGCTTATGATGTCTGTGGTTTTTTGGAGGGAAGAGCATAGCATCCTGTCTTCCTTAACCTTGTTCTTTCAGTCACATACAATATGGGCCTCCTGAGGAGGAATTTCGTAGGTATTTGCATGGATTTTCAGATGAGTTGGTAATGTGATAGCCAGAGTAAGTAGTGTAATAAAATAGCAAGAATGTATGAAAACGAGGAAAGAATGCACAGGGGTACCCTGCTCTGCCTTGCTGTGAATAAGGGATACCTCAAACTCCTAGAAAAATAATAAAATTCTCAAACTTATTTGGAAAATAAAGGAGGGAATCTGTTAAACATAGAAGGTTCTATATCAAGTACAGGTGTAATAGTAAGCCAGCTATTTTCATTGAATAGATACTACTCTTCTGTGTCTTTGAGACATAAGAACAGATGATGCTTTAAAAGGAAATGGGAAAAGCTGAAGTGTTTGGGGTTCTCTTTGTGTGTGTCATCCTCCTCCTCCCAAAATATGTCAGAACGCTCTGTAGTGTTATTCCTTTTTTTCCCTCATCTCAACCTTTTAAATCGGATTTCTTCCTAGGAAATCCAACAAGTGAAAAACCTTGAAGAATTGGAAGCCTTCATGCTTAAGCATGGTGAAAATATCATTGACACACTGGGAGCTGAAGTAGACAGACTTGAGAAGGACCTGAAGGTGAAACTTAGCTGCTTATTAGGGAGTGATTGTTCTGTGACTGTATTTTAGACAATATCATTGCATTGACTTTGGGGATTTTGTTTGTAAATATATGAGGGAAGAGGTTGATAATCCTAATGTAGATTCTCTCGCTATAGTATCATTAACTAAGTTTGGACCAGCAGTAAACCCTTACTTTGCCGTTGATCCATTTGTTACATATTTTGTTCAGTTTTGTACCACTGTAGAATAGTATTTTTGTGATATAAGACCTGGTTGTTTCTTTGTTACTGTACTTGCAGAATACCAGGTTATTTACAGGCTGTTAAATTTTGCTTTGGTTGTAAAGAAGCAAATTTCAGTTTTATTTTTAATTTTTTATCTGTTACTTAGCATTCTGTCAAGTGTATCAGTGTGTAATGAGGGCTTTATTGAACAGTTTTTGCTCCTTTTGAAGCAGTTTAAAACTTTCTTAAAGTGAGACTATATATATCTTTATTTGGATGGCGTTATATAAAATCTAACCGCCTTTTTTAAAATCAGGAGAGCCACTTCATACTTTATAAAGTGTGAGAACTAATTTATCTGTGATGTTGAATGGTATTTGTCACATGAAAAGCTGTCTTAACCTTCAAAAAGTTGCTTTATAGTATGGGCAGTTGCTTTGTAGTATTTGTTGAAGCTGTTCTTCATTTTAAGATAGTCCCCATGTTGCCAGAAAAGGGAATTCGTTAACCAGTTGCCAGTGTCATACCAAGAGTACATTATTTGTATCCATGTGCAAAAATGTGTTTTAATATTCTCTATTTACTTCTTTTTCTAAAAATAATTTTATTTCAGCAACGAAATCCTGATGTTCGTCATGTGGATTTGGAGATACTATAGGCATGGCAGAAGAAATCTTCATGTTGCTACCATTTTGGAAAGAAGTCGTGTAAAGGGCTGAAAAGCTTCCGAAACTGCAGTGACCTCAGCGCCATACCTCGCTTACTTTTGCTGTAGGCTTCCTGGACTGTTAGAACTGCTTCTGTTTCTGGAAGAGCACTAGACCCGCAGACAAAAATTTCCATGGCAAAATCAATTTAAAAAAAGCTATTTGACTTAAATTCCACGGGAGAGTCTGTCAAAGTATATTTACTGCAACTCAGAACTTAACAACTTGAGGTTTAGTTAGGCAAATATAGCTGCCTGAAGATACACAACACACTTAGTTTTTCCATTTGCGTCCCTTTGCAGTCAGTTTGCACTTCTTTAGTTTCTTTCAAGATACCACTAAAGGTTCTTGGGAGATATTAAGATTAGCTAGGAAGAGTTTGTTCCAGTGGAACCTGCCAACCTTAAACTAATTGTAATATTTCAACTGTGTGATTGTTTCACAGTTTTTCTTTTCTATGAGATCAATTCTTTCAAACAGGCACTGGCTTTTTCTCAAGTACCATGACCTGTAAACCTGCTTTTTCCCACTCTTGTGAGTACTAACTGCACTTCACAAAAATAAGATTTTTCTTCTCAGTGGAGTCAGCTGTATGTGGTTATCCAGAGTATGTTAAGTTACTGTGAAGAAATTAGAGATTTTGGTGAACTTGCTCTGTTTAAATTTTGTTATTTTCTCCCCCTGCTTTGACACTTGTTCTCTTATTTGTAAGTATCTTCAGATGTGATCTGGGAGATATATACATGGTAGTGCTTATTAAATGTTACCTGGCATTTTTTGCTTTCCTTATAGGCAGCATTGCCAGATACGGTCTTTGATAGAATGTGTGAGAGATGTAATTGGAAGTTACAGTAGTAAAAAATGTATTAGAATTATTTATAATTAAACAAATGAATACATTGTATTTTTAATTTATTTACCTCTAGACTTAATCTGAATTCTAAATTGATTGTGGGTTTTTTTTTTTTTGTTTTTTTTTTTTTTTTTTTTTTTTGTTAAGAATTGGCCTTGCTTTTTTTGGAAAGTAAAGTAAATCTATCAGTAGTTCTCAACAATCCTGAGATAAATGCTTAGAGTTTATAACTTTGAAATGTGCAATTTTAGCATTGTATATATGAGCCTCAAGGTTTTCTGCAGTAGGCACCCAAGTTGTACCAGATGCTTTGATTTGAGACCCAGTCTTTATTAATAAGGGCATGAGTACTTATCATGCAAATTGAAATATAAGTGAAGTTACTGCATATAAATAACTCTGAAGAAAATCCTTTATGCACTTTAACATATTTCAGTAAAATGAAAATTGCTCATGGGTAAGAGGTGTTAATAAGAACCTCCTAGTGACTCATTTGCTAAGTAATGACTGACTTGCTGAAAGGAGAAATGTTGGTATGAAACACAAGTCTCAAAAATCAGTTAAGATTAAATTATAAATATTGCAGCAGATAATAATTGTGAAGACCAGTACATCTAGATTTGGCTAAAAGCTTTTGAAAATGTTTTTTAGGTTTGTTTTTTTTTTCATACTAAGTCTCACCAATGAACTGTGAGAATTTAAAATAGCGTACCTTTCGACAACTGCAAAACATTCCGGAGTTTAGTTACAGATGGGACTTCACATACAGTAATTGTGGGTCTCTTTAGTACCCTCATCCATAATCCCTATTCACCAGTGGCTTCTGTATAGCTTATTAGCTATATTATTATGGGTAATCCAGAAGAATCATAGAATAGTTAGGGTTGGAAAGGACCTTAAGATCATCTAGTTCCAAACCCCCTGCCATGGGCAGGGACACCTCACTTTATCTGGTTTTCTCCTATTGTAAAACTACTTAGTATATTTCAGACTGATGATTGGAAATGCAGTTTAAAGAAAATTTGGAAGTGTGCTATGCCAAGAAAATAAGACATCCTTAGCACATTATAAATCGTCTACCTTTCTCCTCACCTTTCCACGTAAACTTCATCTCATTATGCATTCTGCTGATGTTAGTCTTATTCATGAAGACCACTGGAATCTGATAACGCATAATCTCTTTCCTTGTTCCTAGAATATTTATATGGATTTTGAATTTGAATAAACAGTTTAAGATTTCTGGAATAATGGGTTTATTAAAAACTGGGAAAATGCTCTTACTGGGGCGTTAGTGGAGACAGCCAATGTGATCCAGGTGGTTTGTATGCTGGAGTTACTGATGAATGAGCAGTGTTAGTGTGCACTAACAGAAATTTCACTGAAAGTTTAGTAAATGTTACCCCACTACTGAAGCGTTCCCGTATCTCGTTTAAGAGAGGGCATGAGTTTATATTCTTACACAGCACCTGCTCCAGAAGCCCATAAAAATGTTTTCTTGTTCATCAGAGATGTAATTTATATGAATTCTGATCTTAATTTCCTTATTTGAGTCAGAAGTACACCCATCCACATACCACTTGTTTGTATTCCAAGATAACATTCAAATCCTTGTCTCCCAGTTATGTTCCTGATTATAGCATAACGATATGTTAAATTTAAGAAGCCAGAGCTTGAATGTTTTTGGGTACATAACAGTTGCATAGTTTGAGGACCCAGTTCCATATTTTAAAAATGACCTGGATGGTGATGTACCACAAAAATCTAGGCAGTCTGGTTTTGGCAGTACCTCTTGAGTTTACATGTCATGCAGTTGGGTGAAAATATTGATTCATTGAACCTGTCAGTTTGGAAAGGAAAAGGAATTCTAAGCTGTTAAATTTTTAATGCATAGATTGTTTTTAACAGTTTTGACGTTTTTACTGCCTTTTTTTCTTCTTTTTTTTTTCTTTTTTTTTTTTTTATATATTTATCTCTCTTTATGGTCTAACACTTGAAGTGATATGGGTCCAGTACTTAGTTTACTTTTGTTTTAGTGTTTTTGGGAAAACTGTTTAGCTACTACACTTCCGTGATAGAACCCTCAGAATTAAAGAAAACTTGCAAAGTGTGGAGGAGTGTGGAGAGATTTTTTTTCTTTGTCACAAATGCAATTACGTGATATTCCTTTTTTGTTTTAAGAAAGTGAGGAATTAGCTAACAAAGTTACATTCTAGGTTTTTTTCAATTAAGTTGTGGCCTTTTAAAATAATCTGTCTTGTAGACTCTCCTTGCATGTTCTGTTTTTTCAGATTATGTTCAAAGTACAGCTGCCCTCTGCTTTGTGAAAGGTTGCTTACGTATTGTAGAATGTTTCTTAAGTCTGTAAAACTTGCAGTGTTTGAAAAAATTGTCTTAATGTTCCAATATACTGAGCGATCTTAATGCATTTTAAGTCAGAGTTGGCCAGACACTAACAATATGCATTTTCCTATAGAATTTGTTTTTCTATAAACGATAAAATTGTGAAGTGATTTTCTTCCCCAAGAATCAATTTCAAGTCTAAATTGTCTCCTTTATACACTGTGGAAGTAAGTTTTTGAGTGGCACCCCTCTACTTCTCCACTTTCTAAAGCATTTATTAAGCATACTGTAGTAGTAAATATTTTGGTGTATTACAAAGACTTTTTGCTGTGTGTTCTGGTTGAGAAGTAGAAGGGACTGGGGAAACAGGAGAACATATTTTTTAAGGTCAAGTTGCATTCTTTATACTCTGTGACTCATGCTCAAGCTGAAGAGTTTATAGCCTCTGCTTTTCTCCTTCATTGAATTCCAACACAGGTTTTATTATTTTTTTATTTGCCAACCCATGGAGGTAGAAGCCGTTATGAGCATCTCGCGTTTTTAAGGCTAGATGCTACTTTGGTCTCTGTACTTTATCAATGAACAAGTACAGTTGACAATAATGATTGCTGTTCTGTTTTGAAAGCTACAAACCATGTAAGCCAAAACTACCAAAGCTTTCTGATTCTGGCGGGTGCAGTTTTTTCAGCTGTATCTGGAGACTCAGTTTTTGTTGAGAGATTTTTCACTGGCCCCTCTGATACGGGGGAGTATGGAGAAGAGTTTTGGGTATGTTTTGTCTAGGTAATACACTGAAATTCTGTGTTCTCATTATCATTTCAGCTGATTTATTTTTTTTCTGTAACAAAGGAAAAATTACGCATTATGGAAGTACATCTGCCAATGAGTGCATCAAATACAGGCTTCCTGCAAAGAGTTTTTAGGCATGGCTGTTTTTGAAAGTTCTTAATTAAGTAATCCTTTTTCTAAAGTTGATGTAGACGTGTTTCCTACAAAAGAATTCACGGAAGCATATTGTTTAACATCTAAAAGGAGAGTATTTCAGTTTGTGTTCTTACGTTCTTAAGGCATTTTGGCTTGGTGCAGTAGAATAATTGTCTAACTCCTGTACAAAACCTGAACTTCTGTGCATGCCAGCGGCTTACATTGCAGAAATGAGTATAAAATGACAATTTTTTTTTTAATTCCAGTTTAAGCATTGTGCTGCTTCTATTCTGATTGTTAACTCTGAATAGAGAGTACAACTGATGTCTCTTGCAGTTTACCTCCTTAATGTAAATGAGAAGTCAAGGTGTACCATAAAGATTTTACGTTTTGTAGAGGGGTTACATAGCTTAAATAAGTAATTTTTCTGTTTCTGCTTAGTGAGGCACAAATAGTTAAGATCAAAGTAGACTATATATTACATATAAAAAGAAATAGGAAACCAGGCTTTAAAGCACAATAGTCAGATTTTGAAATGCAAGTCCTTTGAGGAAAATAAAATATGCCAGAAGCTATAAGTGGTTGTACGGACTATAGGAACTGCAGTCAATCAGGCTTTGCTGAGGCAAAAGAAAAGAAACTATCACAAAGTGTATGGTAAAAAGAATACATACAAGGACGGAACAAAACTATGGTGTTGAGCACGTGGGAACAGAAAGAGATGAATACAATATAAAAAAATGTGGCCATCAATGAGAAATGATGATTGAAGAACAGTAAAAAAAAAGTAAGAAATTATATTTGATTAGTATGCATAAAACTGTGTAGTACAACACTCTCTTTTAGCGATACTCAGTTGGGTGATTCCTCCCTCCCAATCCCAGCAAAACTTTTTTTTTTTCTCTTTCTTCCCTGTAATGAAAATCAGTGTCTCTGTTTAACTGTTTTCTCATACAGTATTTGGTCTTGCAGGTATAAGACCATTTGCCCTCTTAAAACCTACGTATTGCTCAAGGTGATAGTGTAATCTGAGTCTGAAGCTTTGGTGGGGTGTGTATGTGGTGAGTGGAGTGTGAGTAATTTCAGTTATGGAAACAGGAGGAAGAGTGAATTCAAGAGAAAATTAATTGATTTTTTTTTTTTTTTTTTTCAGCCCCAAAACACTTGGAGCACCATACTGTGTCACATGGTAAAAAAAAAAAAAAGAAAAGTGCAGTGTTTTAAAGTCTGTGGAATTTTTACATTGGTGAATATGTTAGTCCATATTTTTCAAGTTGCTTAAATATATGTGGATAAGCAAGATTTCTAGTTAAAGCATCACATTCTGAAAGGGAGTTAAAGATAACATTCAGAATGTAATGTGAATTACATTTTACACACTTTAAATACCACAGACAGATACAATAACAGATTATAGTAGGTAGGCAGAAAATTGTTGTTCTCGCCTGTATTACATGAGGCTTTTGAAGACAATTTCCTTTTTCTGTGTAAGTCAAAGCCACCAATTAGAATAAAAGGTCTTGGTTTTTTGTTTGGGGTTTTTTTTTTGTTTTCTTAGGTACAACACCAACAGAAAGCTTGGTCAAATTTTTGTGTTGCCAGCATTCATATTGCTGTTTACAGGGAGAAAGTATCTGTTAAAATGATGGAATATAGCTCCACAATCTAGGATACATTTGATTTTTGTAATCTAAATTTGGAGTGTATTTAAAATTCTCCAGGTTCTGATCGATCAGCTGCTTCGAATCTGAAGACAGAAGAAAAAAAATGCTATGTTGTGTAAATGTTGTAATATAAAGGAGGTTTTTGTAGGTTTCTCTTAAAGGTGCTGAAGAACTACGTGAGAAGAAGAGTTTGAAAAATGCCGAAAGCATTTGGAAAGTGTTTTGGCAATTGCCGTAATCGTATAAAATCTGAAAGTCACAGTGAGGCTTGTCACTGGTGGTAGAATTTTCAAAGGGCAATCTCAAAGTTGAAACATGTTTTTCTACACAGCCTTTTAATCAAATGCCACTCACCCACCCCACAGTCCCCCATGCATTTTGGTGTCTTGGCTTCTTCATTCTGTGTCTTGGTTACTTCGTATTAGTATGAAAGTCATTTTGATTTGCGAGGTGTAGACATTTAAATATTTCCCTGCATATGTTCTTTATTTTGTAATTATGCTTGAATTCAGTACATCCTGTAAAATGTCTGGAAGTTGTAATTACTCAGTAAAATGCTACACAGCTGTTGAAGGTTGTGTTCTGTTAATTTAAGCAATTTTATATATATATAGTAAAGGTAAGCAATAACGCTGGCTTTAGGCAGATGATCTGCTGTTTCTGAATTCACAATACATATAACGGTATTTTATAGATGCAAAACAAAGGTTATATCCATCTATTTGTAGCAGTTACT